CGTCAACGACGTCACCAAGGTGAGCAGCGGCCGCACTGTGCACAGGAGCAGCGGCGCAAGGAGCAGGGGAGACTCGCGACCTCGGGGGCCGCTGAGGGAAAGTGGGACCATCTGCTGCTGGCAGTTGTTGGTTTGAGTTTTCTTGATTAGGCCTCACGGGTTTGTTGCCGCTGTTGGGGGTACCTCACATCGTTCCGTTTTTGTTGCTTTATTTACCAGTTATCTGTTCGTGTAATTCTCGTCTGCGTTGCTAGGCTGCTGCAGCAACAGCGTGGCAGTTCAATCCAAGCGTTTACCAGCTGTTCCATTGCCGCCTCTCCGGCCGTCTGGTATGCCGGGCCGGCCCAGCTCGCGTGTTCGCCAGTCTGACCGCCGCCTCCCCGCCGCTGCCGCAGCGCCTCAGCGAGAAGCGTCAGTGCGCCGGCCGGCCGCAGGAGCCGGACGCCATGTCACGCGAGCAGGTGCTGGCCGAGAAGCTGGCGCTGCAGAAGGCACTGCTCTGTCTGGAGGAGCTGCACGGCCGGCCGGCCGAGAAACACGACCGGGACGTGGTGCGGCCGCTGTACGAGCGCTACCGTCTCATCAAGAGGCTCGTCGTCAAGTCCGGCTCGGTACGGCGACCGGGACGGGACGGGACGGGGGACGGGGACTGGCCGGGCTTGTCGGCTTTTATTGTAAGGTCAGCTGTGTTTTTTTTTTTGTTTTTTTTTGTCGTGTGTTGTACATGGAGCCGGCGGTAGGTGGAGTTCCATCTGACGTTTGGTGGCACGAGGGCTGCCAGCCTCGCTGGCATCCCAGGCCGCTAGATGTCAGCCTGCCCCGGCCTTCGCTCCGCGTGGTCCGCGGTCTTCACCGCCGTCTCCGCCGTTCACAGCCTAAGCTGCGGGACTCGATCGGCGAGCTGACGCCGATCCTCGAGCACGAGACGATGACGTTTACGGCCTCGGACCGGCCCGCCATCTCGGAGCGCGACGACGAACTGGAGCCGTGCGGTCCGGCCGCCGGCGGCGCCACCGAGCGTCTCCAGCTCGACGACAACCTCCACAACCTGCCTGTGTGAGTGAAGGTTCGGCGACTTCGCATCGGAGGGGAGCTGCCGATGTGACGCTCGGATGCGTCTTGCTGAGTCGTATGATATAGCCGAGATCAGATGGTTCCCTATCTGCGGTCTTCTCGGCACGTTTGAGGAACTGCTGGCGACCACTTGACGCTGTTATGTTCAGGCTTGGGCTGCATCCCACACTTCCCTATGAAGTTCCCTGTAAAACCCGCTTGCAAGCTCCAATAACCAGCCAGTGTCCCAACGGCTGACACTGGAGGCCGCGGTAGCGAGTGAGCGGGCTGGCGTCCTCGTCTCCCTGCGGTGACCGCCGCCGCTGCCGCCGCTGACACCGCTGACGCCGCCGTCCCGCAGGTCCGAGCTGCGCGACCAGCTGAGCCGCGCCAAGGACGAGAAGCGCCGGCTGCGCGGCGTGCTGCTGGTGTTCGAGGAGAACTTCCGCTCCAGTGTCGGTCGGAAGGTGAGCCGAGTCGCGCCGGCCAGTCTCGGGTCGGGTGGATCGCGCGCGGTGTATGGATTGGGAGCTAGCGATTGGCTGCCTTCGTCTAAAGCCTCGGAAAGTTAAGTTAAATTTAATGCAATGTTTTGTTACCTATGTGAGCAGGTTAAGTTAATGCACTTTCCCCCGTCTGTGTGGATAAGACGTTGGCCGTTATCTGACGTAGCAGCGTGCCGTCTCGGTCGGCCTGCGGCTGAGACACCACCAAAGGCGGCGCGGCGGCAGATGGCGCTGATGCGCGCGGCTGTAGCGGACATGCTCTCCATGTGCTGACCCCCGGCCCGCCGTCCGTCACCAGGTACAGAAGGACGACCGCGGCGAGATGGACGACACCTACGCCGAGTACAAGCAGGTCAAGGCCAAGGTCAAGCTGTTGGAGGTGCTGGTGGCCAAGCACCGGTCGCGCTCGTTCACCATGTGAGCCGGCCGAGCGCGCGGGTGCGACGCAGACTGGGGGCTGGCCCCGGCGACAGAGGGCTGGGCGGCCGCCGCCGCCGCCGCCGCCGCCGCTGCTGAACGCTGGGAGTGCGGCCGGACCGCGGCAGCTGTGTGGGCGTGTGTGTGTGTGTGTACATAGACGTACATTGGGCGCTGTGCTCTGGGAGCTGTGAAGCCGCGCCCGGCGGAGCGGCCGCCGCCGCGCGCCGGCCGTTGTTGTGGCGCGCGGCCGAGCGGACGGCGTTGTTTTGGAGGACGTTGGGCGGGCGGCTGCGGCACGCGCCGCTGTGTTGTACCTGCAGTGCTGACCGGACCCGGCACCAGGCGACGCCGACCGGACGGCCGTAGTTATCGTATGCGTATTATTTATTATACAGGCGCGGCCCTGAGGGCGAGGCGCCGGGCCGGCCGTCTCGCTGGCGGCCAAATATCATCGACAAATACACTGAGTTGTCGTGATAACTTTGTGTGAGCTATGATCGGTGAAGGGGGAGGGGAAGAGAGAGAGGGGAGCGTGAACCGAAGAAGGAGGGAGAGGGAGGGAGGGTTCGCTCTGGTGCGAGCGTCAGGGGAAGAGTTACGGAGCGCGCACAGCTGGGCTGCCGGGGGACTGGAGAGTGAAGCTGAGAAAGGTACACAGTGGGATGGCCAGGGGGAGGGGACAGCGACTGATGAGCGGAAGAGAAGAGCGGGGTGAACAGTTCAATCTGCCATGAAGTGAATGGTGTGGCCAGTGCGGTGATTCTCGGGTGACGTTCATAGGCCGGCTGCGAGGGAGGGAGGGCGAGGCGGGGCTCGCTTCGCTGCGTGCGTGGTTCGGCCCGTGTGCTTGTTCCGCACGTTTTATAACTTGTTGAGGACATAGCACCAAACAGCCTTTCACTTCCATACGCAGTCGTCAAGGCTGGATAAATATACCCAATTGGCTCGCTGGCGTGGCAAGCTGCCACTGAATGGTCTGAAGTGCGCGGGATGCAGAAGCGGCGCAAATCCATCGCAAATGTGGAATCATCAAGGGTTGTATGTAATACATGGAGTCATGCACAGACGCATTAAACACCAAAGCACATGACGCATTCCTAATCGTTACCGGCGCCACCATGTTGGTGATGGCTAGCTGCGGCTGGGAGCGAGCTCCTTTTTTTACATAATCCGAACCTTTGGAACGGATGGATTTATGGGTTCAGAGCTCACGCTAAGCAGTGCTTGTGTGAGCCCTGGCCGTACCTTCCGACCGTGCGATTTCATATCATCGGCAGAATTTGGGCGAAAGGCAGGCGCTCCAACCAATTGAGCTATCGGGGCAGATAGAGCTACCGATTTGTGGCCCGTGTTAACTCCGGGATCACTTTCTGGTGCATGCTGGCAATGCTTGGCCCTGATCGTTTAGCAAAAAGCTGCCCCGAAGGCCCGTTCTGTCCTGTCCCGTGACCTGTCCATGTTTGGATTGCATCACCTGTCGTAACTGGTCCACGAATGGCTGGCCCTCATGCCCCCCACAGTTCGCCGTACTTCTTTCTATGGCGTACCACAGGAGGCTAATGTGTCGCGATCATGCCCAAGACATCCCGCAGCTGAAAGCGCCCGCCATCTGAACAGTTGTAAGAGATTTGCGCTGAGACGGAAGAGGGCTGTGGGAGGCGTGAGGTGTATTTTGTATCGCCAGATGACTGATGTGTACGTAATAAAAACGTTTAGCTATGTCATGCGTCTGATCTTGCAATAACCAGCGCTGTGCAAAAGGCATAACAAATGAAAATATATCAGCTAAACAAGTTTGTGAATGTTCCGATGCATGGCGGCAACCGAGACACTTACCTACTTCCCTCCAAAAAAGTTGCGACCCATTAAAGGGAATGTTCTACATCTGAAGATATTGAGGCAAGCATCAGATATAATGAAATAAGCTGCCTTATAAACTATTGGTATACATTTACGTGGAAAAGACAGGTCTGAACAACAAAATATCCCTAGTATGTTCCCTTAATACGTCATTGTTGATTGTGGTACAGATCGTTAGCATGGCGGCACTCTCTCCCAGTTCTTCCAATCTCCCGAGAGGCAGCCGTGGTGATGCTGGATGTGTGCTGCACCAGATATCGTGAGGTGCTGGTGTGCTTTGTCCCCTGTCTCGCAGTGTTCTTGCATATTTAACCGCCAGTCTAAGGTGTTTTCTTATATTCGCATACTCGGTTATGGTGATTTTTCGAAGTTATTCGATTGCATGCCTTGCTTCTGTAATAACTAGGAAGAACATACATCTTGTAATATGTGGCGCAATACGTCATTTGTGTTAACCCCCTGGACGGTGACGGCTTGTCATCACATATCGTCGACTCATTCGTTGGCCTACGCCCCGACTGGCAAAACTAGGCTGATACAGAACGGTTGCTCCTTTGCGGCTTTCTCCCAGGGAATACTATTTTCTCATCATCGTTTTTGTCGCTTTTCCGTTCACTCTCGTTCGAAACACACACCTTTCACTTAATTTGTGTTGCCCTCTTGCCACTTCCCCGTTACGGGGAAGCGCTTGTAAGAACAAGAAGGATGACACGGACACGGGCTAGAACTCGGCCTCTGACACTGACTCTCCCTTGAATGTAGCCGACTGAAGTTCCGTCAGCCTCGTTCTGGCCGCCGCTTCGCCTGATGACCCCCGCGCGCCTCAGACACAGTGCATTGGCTCAAGCACTTCCACCGCGGTGTCTGGACGGCACTCATCTTCGTCCAGCTGCCCTGGTTTCGACCCTCGCTCGTGTTTGGCCATCCCGGTGCCTTCTCACCCATGCTGACTCTCGCTCCACCATGACCGGACAGACCTCTGAGCCCCCTCTCGCCCCACTCAGCTCTTTCGTTGTACTACCCTGTGACGAGAATGTCTCTTTCAGAAAAATCGACGTGTTTTGACCATCGAAGCAAATTCAAGCTATCTGTGGTCCACGCAATCTTGAAATCGAAGCGCCGGCAAATGGGTCATTAGTGATCAAAACAACCTCTCGTACTCAGACCAAGGCTCTTCTCCAGACCACCGAATTCTGCGACAAAAAAAGTTTAAAATTTCTCTTCACTTTGCAAGAAGCACCACAAAAGACACCATCTTCGTGCCTGAGCTCCGATTCATAACGGGGGAGGAGATTCTCGTGGAGCTTAGAGCTGACAACGTTTGTCATGTTCGACGACTGAGCACGCTCCACAATGGACAGCGTCATCAGGACACCAGCTTACTTGTTCTGACTTTTGCAACCAGCCGCCTCCCAGGAGCTCTCACAGCCGGCTACCTCGATATCAAGTCAGGGTGTTTCCTCCCAGGTGTTTTAAATGCCAAAGGTTCGGACACAGCAGGAAGTTCTTCAAGCAGAATGCAAGATGCCTCAAGCGCGGCGAGACCGCCCACGAGGGGTCCACGTGCCTATCGCCCCAAACATGTCTGAGCTCTGGAAGTGCTGGTCACAGCGCCGATACTTCCCAGGCTCCGACAGGAAGAAAAGAAAAAGAGATCTGCTCCGAAAAGGCCACAGAGGAGCTATATCTCACCGACTCTAATGTCATGATAAACGATTTATTTGACTCATTACCATCGGGCATTCCTGCTTCTCTTTTCGCGGACGATAGCGCAATCTGGCGCTCGGATGCTGAGTATGACCATTTGTTGCTACGGCTCCAAACCACCCGAAACAAGGTGCAGCAGTGGTCAGAGCGGTACGGGTTGCGTTTCTCCCCTCCCAAATCTGCAGTTATGACTTTCAGCAAACATATGCGTGGCACTCCAAATTCTTGGCTCAGATTAGATGGGCATTGCATTCCTTTCGCTCCGTCTTTCAAATTTCTTGGCGTCGTACTGGACTCACGATTGTCGATGCGACAGCACGTGGAGCATGTTCGGTCCAAATGCCTAAAGAGACTAAATTTCTTTAGATGCATTTCCGGGTTATGATACGCTGCCGACTGTCAAAAGTTATTACGTCTTTACAAATCCTTAGTTCTTCCCATCATTGAATACGGCTCCGTGGCATTTTCAGGAGGCAGCCAACACACTCTTCAACCGCTATCCACCATTCAAAATATGTTCTTGCGAATTACCCAAACAGTTCTACACACCTCCCCAATTTCAGCACTTGAAGTGGGCGCTCACTTTATGCCTCTTGCGCTTCGGCGAATGGAACACACACTGCGATGCATGACAAAAGTGCGACAAATTCCCAATCATACAGCATTTGAATCTATACATACCTCACATTCACCACAACTACACAGGGCCTGCAGAAGCCGGTCAGGACTTACAATAGCATCTCGGACCCCTGTCTACTGCACCGCTCTACATTTTGCTTTATCGTCTTCTTCCGCGCCACTTGCTTTAATAGTACTACCATGGCAGTTAGCCCCTCGAAAAGTTTTGTTTCTTTTTGACGATCTCAAACTTTTTCACAAGTTATGTTCAACGCACATTTAATCGCCTCATTGCCAATAATCGGAATAGTAATTTTGATTACACCTATAGCTCCAAGGCCAATAACCTCACCGGACGTGCGGTGATTTGCAGTGACCATTACCACACAAATTGCCGATTACCGGGTGGTACCTCAGTGTATTTGGCTGAATTATTTACTCTTCTTGCGTTACAACACGTTCAACATCACACCCATACAACAAGGACAGTAGTGATCTGTTCAGATTCGATGGCAGCTGTACCATCTCTTGTCTACCCTGACTTTACTCACCACCTCCTTTTAACATCGTCAATCTCTATCATATATTACACGCACAGAGCGGAGCATGAACATCAATTGTTTGTGGATTCCAGGACATAAAGGCATCGCGGGAAATGAGTGAACTGACCAACTGGCCAAGGAAGCTTTGACAGCCCCTCACATCATGGAGATCCCTGTTGATCAAGCATCTACGAAATTTTCGATTCGCACACCGACAAAGCATTTTGACTACGACAGTTGACCGTTACGACCAGAACACAACTTCATGATATCAAAGCAGATACTACCCGTTGGGCATCAGCACAACGTCAAGACCGTTTAAAGGAGGAGGTGTTGGCCCGTCTACGAACTGGACACATTACACTCACATATAGTTACATATACTTACGCCACGCTCGTCCTCACTGTCAGCCGTGCAATCACCCACTATCGGTTGAACATATTATTTATTGAGTGCACCAAGTATCAACAGCAACACAAAGATATGTAGGCGTTATGTCGTAGACACAATGCCGAATTTTGTTTTTTTTAACTGAACTGGTGATGACCAGTCTCAAGTGCTTAACATTCTCTTCACTTTTCTCAGACTTACCGGTGTACTTCAAGCGATCTAAAAGTGAATAAACGTACGCGTTTTTTTCTTCACATACGCAGCCGCACTGATTTGAAATGATATCTTCCAGACGTGAAATGACCCAAACGGGACGAAACGCCTCAAACGAATAAAACGAAAACTGGACG